TTGGAGATGAGTGGGTCACTGAGATTTGACCTTTACCATTGATTTCAAGACTTTCGGATTTTTTTTGAATGTTAATATTTTCCTGTGATTTTTCTTGTTTGAATGTTAAAAGTAACACAGGCTCATGTTAAAATATACATAAAGTGTATATATATATATATATACACACACACACACATACACATACATATATACATAGAAATATATATGGTGAAAAGTGTGGTGAATCAGGATTCAAATAAGGTTCTGCTCATTTAATTGATTGATAAATGCCTCAAGTCTTTTTTAATCTATAGGATTTTCCCTCTCCCTCATTTTCTTCTTTACAACTTATTTGTTGAAGAAACCAGGTTTTCCTGTGGAGTTTCTCACAGTCCACATGATGCTGAGCACATCCCCAGTGGGGTGATTTAATGTGTTTTCCTGCCCTTTGTATTTCCTCCAAATTAGTATTTCGATGTGGAAACCTGATGAGATTCCATCAGGGTTTTTTGTTTTTTTATGGGGGTTTTGGGGCAAAAATCCTTCATCGGCCGTGTTGTGTTCTTTCCTCTAGAGGCTCATAGGGATCACTCCCCAAGGCAGCTTGTAAGTGCATCCTGAGCTGCAGTCCTCAAATTTAGCTGAAATAAACTCTCTATATTAAAAATAAAAACAAAAATCCTAGCCAGATGCAGTGGTTCACGCCTGTAATCCCAGCACTTTGGGCAACTAAGGCGGGCGGATCACGAGGTCCAACATGGTGAAACCCTGTCTCTACTCAAGATACAAAAATTAGCTGGGCGTGGTGGTGCACACCTATAATCCCAGCTACTTGGGAGTCTGAGGCAGGAGCATTACTTGAACCTGGGAGGTAAAGGCTGCAGTGAGCCGAGATCGTGCCACTGCACTCCAGCCTGGGCGACAGACTGATAATCCATCTCCAAAAAAAATCCTTTGAGCTGGAGCTGCAAGATTAAAAAAAAAAGAGGCTCATAATATCTAGTTGTCTTTCTTTGATGTTAGCAGCCATTAATAACTGTTACCTAGATCTATCAGTTCATTAAGAATTTATAAATTATGGTCTATAATTATTTCAAAGAAATTCATATGAAATATTCCTGCCCTATTGCTCTGGTTAGAACTTCATAAGGATCTTAAACCAAAGCAGCAGCAAAGTCTCACCCCTGAGTGTCATTAAGGGGATGTTTGTGACGGCGTCTTTTAACCTCTCTGGGAGAAGCTGACTCTTAGGGGTCGATTTATCTAGCACACACCATAAACCTCAAGGGCAAGAGACAGGGGCCCTGCTCTGGATAGAAACCTGTCCTTCATCCCATCCTTAGCCCCAGACCACGGGTGTCTGCAAAGCCCACTGGGACTTCCTACACCCCTTCTCTGTCCCCTCTCACTCTCATTGGGTCCTGTAATTTTTGGTTTTCGTTTCTACAGGGCAAGCCAAGTCTTTGAAGACTGAAGACTTGCTGGCAATGGTGATAAAGCTGCAGAAAGGTCATGTGTCTCTTTGTTTTTGTGCCTCAGCCTGGAGTTTCAAGTCGGAAAGACGTGGTTCAAATTCAGCGCCCTCAACTCGCAACCTTGGGAAATTATCCCATTGCACTTTCTCCCTCTTAATTCTTTGAACCAAGAATACAACCCCACAGTTCAAAATTGAAGAAGTTTAAAGGAATGGAAAAACCAGTTGCCCCCTCCCACCCCACTTCCCCCCCCTCACATACGCGTCATCCATTTCCTTGACTCACAGGCAAGCAGCTATTGTTTTTCAATTCTTAAGTATCTTTCCAGAGATTTTCAAAAAATGCATTCATGGGCGTATATTTTTGTCCTCCCTTTTTACATACAAATGGCAATGCAGTTGGTTTTGCACTTTGCTTTGCTTTTTGTGGGAGACCGGGAGCCAGTGTGCACCCAGTACCTACATCAGAGCTGAGGCAGTGCTGGCCAGGTTTGAGGTTAGACCCTCAGCCCATTCTCAAAATAGCATAACATCAGTCTATTCCAAAAAAAAGCAGCAGCCTCCCCTTCTCCCATTCTGTGGCTGCCTGCAGTAGAAGTGCATGGGACTGCTGCCTAGGGTAAAATCAGGGAGAGATTGCAGGGCTAGAAATACAGTGACCCAAACTGATCATTTCCAGTAAAACAAAGACCCCCCACCCAGAGACTTCTTTCAGTCATAATCAGAACCATGGAGATCACCCACTCTCCTGGAAATCACAGAAGCTGGAGTTGGTGACCTTGGAAAACTCATGGCCTGAGTTTATTAACCTCAGTGTGTCTGAGGCTTCGGCAGTGATACTGGCAAGGGCTGGGCAGCTTTTTGCCCCAGTTCTGTGTTGCCAACCTTGAAGCCAGAGAGGAATGAGAAGGAATTCTCCATACAGAGCATTGAGGCAGGGATTATGAGAAGTCAGAGGTGACTCCCTAAAGGGACAGTGATCACCCTGTCACTGGGAAACTTGCAAGCCGCCACCATCAGTGTAAAAGCATTGTTTCCTCATTTCTCAGATGAGGCCAGTACCAGAGTCCAGACTGACAGATTGACAACCCTTCCCACCTGGCTTTTGACAGAGGGGGGCAGATGGGACGTCTCACTTGGCTCACGCCACACTCAGAGTTACATCTGAAGGCTTCCACGATGGCCCAAGATGCCCTGAGTGGTATCACTTCCCACTTACCCCACCTCACCTTCTGCTCCTCTCTACCTGCTCACTAGACTTGAGCCACACCAGCCCATCACTGTGACTTTGGACATGTGCCTCAGTGGCTCCTGCTGCAAGGAATTTGCACTTGTTCCTTCTGCCTTGTTGTACTCTACCTGGAATGGGTCCCCCCTCCACACTCTTTACCCCCACACGCTGCAGGGCCTGCTTCCCTCTCCTCTTTCCATATCTCGAGACATGCCTTTTACCCTTTTGCTCCTCAACACTTTGCCTCGCTTTATTTCTCCTCACAGCAGTTACTTCCATCTGAATTCATTTATTTGTTTGCTCAATGTCCATCTCTCCAACCCAGAATGTAAGCCCTTCAAGGGGCTCTAACGGAGCTCAACACACAGCAGGCGCTCAGTATATGCCTATTAATTGATAGGAGCAGACACAGTGCTTCTCCATCTGCCTTGGACAGTCAGACACAGTCTTCTCTGGGTCAATATTGCTTCTTTTCTTTCTTCAGAGGGAAGCCTGGAGCCACAGATAGAGGACATGATTAACCGGATTAATGAGCGTCAGCAAGGTAAAAACTTGGGGACCTAGACTGGCCAGCAGGGGCCAGCAGGAAGGGCCTGGATTTGTAATTAATCGACCTCCTCATCTATAAAACCTAGGCCCCTCTAGGGCTGTTTGCAGATGAATATGCAATGTCATATCTGCAAGTGAACAGCAGGGCTACAGACCACACTCACACAGTGTTTTCTTCCCTTCTTTGGTCTAGCAAAAAAGAAATCCAGTGAGGAACTGAGAGACACCCGCACTCTCCAGGAGGCCCTGCATAGGGAATTAGACTCCTGTAAGTGGGGCTAAAGAGGGACCCATGAACACTGCGGATGTTCCTGTACACACCTCAAGGCCTTTGCACAGGCTGTTCCCTTGCCTACAATGCTCTTAACCCACACAATCTGTATTGCCTCTCACTGTCTCATGCCATCTTTCAGCTCTCAGCTCAAACTTCACCCTGACAGGCCTATCTAGATGGTCTCATCTAAGAATGGAATCCTGCCCTCTCTTGGTCATTCTCACTCCCCTGCCTGATTTGTTTCTTAGGAGCCTTTATGTCCACCTGACATGGTGTGTGTACATCATCTCTCTCCTCAGTGTAAACCTTGTACATTCTTCAGGGTCTTCACTCCTTTAGCACTTACAAGGAATGTGGGCATGTGGGGGAGAAGCTGGTCCTTGTGGGAGATGGTTGCAAGGGAGGCAAGAAGATACCTCACGTCTCCTGGGGCTGTACTACACCATCTGTGTGACTTTCCCCTTACATGAAGTTGCAATGGAGATGGGGATGGGGGGACCTGGAGGCTGAAAGTGTCATTGTGTTTTCTAGTGAATGGAGAGAAGGTGCACCTAGAGGAGGTCTTGAGCAAAAAGCGAGGTATTTACCAGTTGCTGTGTCTTCCTTATTCTACTCATCCACCCCACAAAAGTCCATACTCCTCAGAGCAGCCAGAGGAATCCCACTGAACCCTAAGTCAGGGGGAAGCTTCTCTCACTGCACAGATCTCTCCCTGAGTTGCTACCTTACTTGGAGTAAACACCCAGGTCTTCCAGTGCCCTCCGATGCCTGACATGATGTGGGGCCCATTACCTCTAGTCAACCCTGACTCCCCAAGAGCTTTCAAAGGGTCTCCTTGATTCCTTCCCCACAGAGGCACTGAGGATCCTCCAGCTGCACTGCCAAGAGAAGGAAAGTGAGGCTCAGAGGTAAGAGGCCCTGCCTCAGCTCTTCCCCACCTCATTCCCCAACTGAAAAAGGAGGGAGCAAGAGCTATGGAAATGAATCTTGGACATGACTCATTTTCTCTTTCTATAAAATAGAGCAGCTAGACAAAAGGCTTCCTTGGTTATCTCTGATATTAAATGGTCATGTTAAGATTAATTTACTCATTTAATTATTCATTACTAATTCCTTCATCAAATAATATTCCATCCACTGGTGTTAGTCTGTCTTTCTCTGCTGGCTGTCCAGCTCCTTCAGTACCCATGCACTTGATTATTTGTCTGCTTATTTTAGGCCCCAGTCATCCCTTTGCCACCCATTCATCTACCACCCATCTAGCCATTCACCTACTCACTCATTCATCCATCTATCCAACTACCCAACTCTATCATCCATCCAGATGGCCATTTTATCTCCAGCCTTCCACCTAATAATCTTGCATCTATCCAATCATGCATTCATCCTCTCTCTCTTCTTCCCATAGCCATTCATTTCTTCACTCAACCATCCAGACATCAATCCTTTCTTCTAGCAATCCTTTGTTTCTCTCTCCAGCCACTATTCCTCCGCTCATCATTTCTCTAATCAGCTATCGTCTCTCCAGCCAGCAACTCACACATCCAATCAACTGTACGTCCAACCACGTATTCATCCATCTCTTCATCCTCTGAACCTTTACTCAGCACATTCCTGTTACCAGAGGTCTCACATCCCGGTGCACCATGACTTTAATTGCATGGGGAAACCTGATGTTAGCTAATGTGTGTATACCAAACCACACTACTCACACTGTCTGATGAGCATTTATGTACCTAATCCTCACAATGACAATTATAGGAGTTAAAGGCTAATGTCACCCTCCCATCACTACCACTATTTTACATATGAGGAAACAGAGACCCAGAGAAGTTAAGTAACTTGCTCAGGGTCACAGTGAAGTAGCAGATCAGGCTTCAAGCCAGGATGTTAGAATCTGTGGTGCTAAACTACTACACCCCTCACAAAGCTTTCTTGGGAAGCCAGGGTTCATTCCATGGGGGACAGGATGGACAGGGTGATGTTCTCAACAGAAGCCCATGAAGGTTCTCATTGAACAGGAGAAAAGTGAAAGGTGAATGTTGTGAGCAGATATCCCAACTCCCACTCCTACTGGAGTGAATGATGGGTCATTCCGTGAATTTGACTGAGGGTTTTCTTTCCCTTCCCAAGATGCACATGTTGCAAGAGTGCATTGAACAAAGTTTTGTCCATACCTTTCAGATTTCAGAGTCCCAAACAGAGGAATGTGGGATAACTCCCAAGCCTGGGGCCTGGCAAGCCACTGTATAGAAAGTGGGGGCAGGGCTTGCATCAGGGAGACTTTGTTGGAAGAGGTGCTACAGGATAACAGAACTTCGAGGATAAAACCCATGAAGGGGCTCCAAGCACCGAGAGCATGGACAGGATCTGAAGGCCTGTGCATGAGGAGCTCCCTTCAGGGTGTAAGGCCTAGCCTGTGTTCATTCTCTCATTCCTGGGTGTCGGCCTCCAGGTTGGATGTCAAAGGAGAGCTGGAGGATCTGATGGGCCAGCACAAGGACCTCTGGGAATTCCATGTGAGTTATTATCGCCTCCAGCCAAAGCCACTCCTCCCCTGGCTTTAGTGTCCCACTGACTGTCCCAGTGTTTACCCCTGCCCAGGCCCAATGCCGCGGGATAGTCCTTGATTCCTTGCTTCCTCTTGCCCACCTACTCAGTCCCTTGGCTTTTATCTGAAATCAGCTTACATCTCACCATCCTCCACTGCCAAAACCAGCATCACCTGCCTAGACGGGTGCAGTAGCCATTGTGATCCTGCTTTCCCCCTGCTCACCTAGAGTATGTTCACCTTGTAGTGACAAATGGCAGCCCAGAGAAAGCCACGATCAGGTCATTCCTTCATTCAGCTACTGTCAATGGCTGCACCAGGCAGCATTTGAGGCAGGGAGAGTGGGTGGCAGACCAAAGGGGCCACGTCTTTACTGTCCCGAGCTGGATAGGGACAGTGGGGACATACCCAGACTCCAACAAAGGAAGTTAAGTGGCTAGATCGTGGAACATCAGTGGAAAGGCCTCTAAGCAAGTGACATCTCAACTCAGTGGTGAAGGAAGTGAGGGAAGAAACCGTGCAGGTATCTGGGTGCAGAAGCAAAGGCCCTGAGGCTGGACTGTGCCTGAAACCTTTGAGGAACGCAGACTGGGGAGTGGAGGATGAGGACAGTGGGAAGAGTTCAAGTTTGATAAGTTTCTGGAAACATGGAGAGCAGTTAGGGGGAGGTGGGTGGGTCTCCAGCCACAGCAGAAACAGCACATTGAGTTAACAAATAGTTGAATGAATGAATGAATGACCTAATGCAGCTGAAGACTTAGCGAGAAGCACAAAGGGAGAGGGGCGGGCCGTGTAGCCTAGAGGAAAGCCAGACCGGCAGGCCTCTTTGTCCTCGCAGATGCTGGAGCAGCGACTGGCCCGGGAGATCCGTGACCTGGAGAGGAGCAAGGAGCAGCTGCTCTCGGAGAGAAGGCTGGTGCGCGCCAAGCTGCGGGAGGCGGAGCGGCGGCTGCGCTCGCCGTCTGAGGTCGAGGGCGCCATGGCGGCGGAGGACGGGCTGAGGGCGGAGCTGGAGATATTCGGGGAGCAGGTCCAGAGCGCCCTCGAGGTCCGAGTCGGCCAGGGAGAGGCCGGAACGGAGCTCCCGGGCGCCCGCGACGTGGAGGACCCGGAGCCGCCGGTGGCTGACCCTGAGGCCCCCTAGGCTAGCAGGACCCGCCCAGTCCTGACCTTCCCTCCAGACGGTCCAAAAATAAAGGCGATCGTTTCCGACCGAAAAAAAAAAAAAAAAAAAAAAAAAAATATATATATATATATATATATATATATATATATATTTGGCATCCTAAACCCCACTCTATGACAAATTCACTTAAAAAACTTAATTTGTCAGACTACCAAGATGACTAGAAGTTAGGCATTTGAAAGCTGAGTCTGTTCATTGATAGCATTTTCCCTTGGATTTCAGAGGCTACCTAAGAGGTGTGAAGAATTCAAGCTCAGTTTGCAGCCATACTACCCATGTTGCTTTATGAACAAATCCCTGAGAAGAAACAAAGGTCAGACTGACACTCCCAGACAAACATCAAGTTCCAGATGCCGGAGGCCACTCACTCATCTCTACCTAAACCCAGCAATGTCAGATTTCTGAGACTAAGTCCCAATGGACAACAACTCATCTATTTTCATCGTTTAGTGCATTATTTTAGTAATGTAGTGAGTTCCCAGCATTACCTAATGGCAAGAACAGTTTCAGGTTCCTGGAGAGATCAGAGGTTGACTCATTTGTTTAACTGATGAGTTCATCAGGGGCTGTTAACACCTCCCAACCAGGTCCTCTAAGGCCTGACTACATGATCAAGTGTCATCTGAGGGGGGGCAGGGATGGATGTTTTCTCTTTGTCCCCAAGGATAGGGCTTGGTTCTGGATATATTCTTGCTGTGCCTTCGATGAGACAAGTAAATAAATGATACAGCTAAAAATAGAGCTGTGAACAGGGGCAAAAATATGCTAATTTGCAAATATATTCCACCAGTGCCTCATGTTTAAAAAACATGACCAAAAATACCAGGAGCTCAGGAGCAGAAAAGCCTGGAGTCTCATTCCACTGGCTCCCAGCAGAGCGTGGGCGAGTACAGGGCTGGCTCTCCCTGCCACGGATCAGCATTCCCACTTCTAGTCAAGGCTGGGACCCAGAAGCATGTGAAAACTGAAAAATGAGAAACTGCAAACCTCCAGAAAGTTCAGCTTGCATCTGGGTCAAGGGTTCAGTGGGTCCTCGTCTGATCTAAACTAATTGTGTAAATCTCTTTTCCCCCACTATCAAAGAGGCATGCGCTCAGTTTTCTGAAGCTGGAAAGAAACTGAGTTCTCATTTTTCCAGGTCAGGGCTTAGGCTGAAAGCTGGCCTAGGCTGTGTCAGGTCTCCACAGACCACAGCTCAGGGTCCTGCTTTCCAACAATGCCAGCGGCACTGAATGGCCGTGGACTTCATGTGGACACGAATGGTGTGGCCGTTGGGATGGTTCCCTGCCCATTCCAGACCATAATAGACATCAGGAAAATCCACCTCTGGCTCTGCAGAGGGTGTTAACAGAAACAAGCAGGGCCAGCACTGACCGTGGAGATAATCAAAAGTGGCCCACCTGGAGCCAGGGCTGGAGACACACCTAGGGGTAACCTCTGGTCCAGCAGCTTCCAGCTGAGATTTCAATCCCAGGAGCCATACTGCCTGCTACTGTATAGCACTCTGAAGGACCTGGGGTGGGTGGGAATGTGTGTATATAAAGGTATATGGAATGTTCAAAGAAACTATGGGGCTTAGGCTTGTCATCAAAGTTCTCAGGTTATCTGTCAGGTTGTGTGGGCAGCTGGGACAGACGAGAAAAAAGGAGGGAGGAGGGTAAGAGTTCCTGCAGCTTTTCAAGGCTGGAAGGGAGTGGGGGTGGCACAGCTCCTGGCTCTGGGCTGGCTACACATGCAGATATGAGAAGCACAGTGTTCCACTGGAGGGTACTCCTGTGTTGTGGCAAGAAGGACCAGGTTACTCACCCAGTGATGGACGTGTCCACCTCGTGCATCAGCGGCACCACCAGCGTGAGGGTGTTGTCATGCAGGGATTCAGAGCGCTCCACGTTGCCACTGTGCAGGGAGAGAATGAATGAACGCTGGCCAACACGAGCCATCCGGCAGTGGGCTTTCACTCTTCCACTTTAGAGCTGAATCTCCACATTCTCAAGGGCAGATGGCACCTCACTGTCCTCAGTTCTGTCTGTGGTCCCTGTACACATCCATAGAGGCCACTCTATTGTCTTGGTTGTGTTCCACACAAAGATGTGAGTGTAAGTGGTTTACTCGGGAGGCGGCCCAGGAAACACCAGCAGAAGTGGAGAGGGAGACAGCAAAGGAAGGACGACAGTAAAGGCACGCCATGCAGGAGGGCTGCACTGTCAGCAGCCAGGGCCCTGTCTCACGGGGACTCCGGGGGCAGAGTCATCTTCCTAGCTGAGAACATAAGCGCCAGGCCTTTATCCACTGTCTCATAACAGCTGCTGCTGCTGGGGCGGGGGTGGGGGAGGACGAATCCCCTGGCACCTGCCTGTCAGGCAAGTGAGTGGGCTCTGGCCAGAGAAAGCCTCAGCAGGGTGGCCAGTGCTGGGAGCCGGAATCTGCCCAGTTTCCAGTGGATAGTTTGGGAAGGGTGAGGGCTGAGGGGTTATGGGCAGGACGCCCCCTGTGTGTTCTACTTCTGTATGTGCTTCTTTCACAAACAATGGACCAGTGAAGTTAGGTCACTGCAGCCAGGAAGGGGGTTGCTCGACTTCAGCAGCTATGTCTCACCTGAAGGGACCACCCATCATCCATGGACAGCCAAGCCCAGGAAAGAGGCCCTGGCCACACCTTCCACTATCAGCATCATGGAACTCTTGCTACAGACCTTGGCTATAGCAGGTTCACATAAGGCCTCCCGCTCCGGGTGACAAAGAACAGAATGGGGATTCTTCGGAGATCATTCTGGAAAAGTGACGTGAGGATGCTGTTAAGTGGCTACTATGTGCCAGGCACAATGTCAGGCATTTCTCAGCATGACCTGAGACCTCAGAGCAGCCCCAGAGGGAGATGGGGCACCCACCTTTGATAGGTAAGGAGCAGCTCGATAGGTCAGGGAACTTGCCCAAGGCCCCTGCAAACCAGAGCTGAGGTTGCAACCAGCTCAGGGTCAGACTTGAAACTAAGGCTCTCTTGGCTGTGACTCCTGTTCCTGATGCCAGATTTGGGGGTGAGAAGGAGGAGGAGCAAAGGCAGGGAGGAGAAGAAACAGGAGAAAAGAGAAGACCTAGTTTCCCTTTATTACTTTATTAAATTTCTAATATGAATTGTGATCATCATTCCAGAGAAATGACTGCTTCGGGAAAACGCACGGCTCTTGGGTGCATGTTCCTGAACCTGCACTCACAGCTGGTTCCCAAGTTCACCCTCCACGGGCGGAACAAGAGTCCCCCAGACCTGCTGAGGCTAGACTCAGCTCATCCTGACCACTCCCCACCATGCCATTCCCAGAACATCTGCTGAGCCCCTGTCTGCTCTGCGCCCTCTCTCTGCCCCCCTTCAAGCCCTGCCCCACTGCCTTCCTCTCCCGCCCAGCAAGTGCTAAATGGCAACAGTACTTAAATAGCTCTCACTTCCCTTCTCCCTCCTATTGTTCTGAAACAATGGTGCTGTGTGATGCCGACCCCACAGGGCCACAGTCTCTGCCCTGGCTCCTCCTCTGTCTTCTTACATGGGGTGACATCAGTCCCTCAGGGGCAGCCACAGTATGCAAAAGAGCAGGATCAGGTGCCCACACAGCCTGACTTCTTTGTCCTTCCTTTCCCAAGGGACGACAGAAGCCTCAGGACCACTGCTGTGGGCAGGCCAAAGGCGACTGCCCTGTGAATAGTTAGACACCATCCTGGCCCGCTCCCACCCCCACCCTAGCATCCTGCTGGGTCTTGCCCTGCCCTTTGTTTGGCCGGCTCAGGCCCAACAGTCTCATCTGTCATCGTGTGACTGCTCCAGAATGAGCTAAGTTGAAAAGTTGAGATAAAGACGTCAAACATCAAAAGGCTTCCCATCATTCCAAAAGTTCATGAGCTGGGATGCTTTCCAGTGGTCTGCAAAAGCCAGGCTGGTGGCTGCCGAGAGGAGAGGTCTCTGGAAACTGCTCAGTCTCAACTTTATGTCCTCCTACATCCACGAGGAGGCAAAGAGACCTTCAAAGGGCAGTGACGGAAGAAAGGAACGGTTGAGATTTTAACGGTAGTTTTCAAGATAAGGAGCTTTAAGGATCTTTCTGTGATAGCAGGGAGTCAAGTGATGCAGGTGCCCTCGGGGGCAGTCAGACCATATCCTCACCGATGCCTGAAATGAGTGTCCAAAATATTCTGGTGTGCATTTAAAGATACTATGGCCACCTGAACGTTGGTGATGTAAGAAATTAGACGTTTTTATATTATCGAAGCTACAGATCCTAGGGCTTCCTGAAGCTATGCAGCACTGTTAATGTACACGGGGGGGTGTTCTTGAATTTAGTAGGTTACTGTCATTTTCTCATGTGCCCAGCATTTAGCACTGCAACTGGTAAACAGAAGGTGCACGATACATATTTACTGAGTGAAAATGTGCCCAGTGCAGAGAAAGGGATTATAAACGGTGGTTCTTAGCCTTGGCTGCTCATTAGAATTTGGTGAGCCCCTTCGAAAACCCCATTGCCCAGGTCTCACCCCAAGCCAATTTGGTCCGAGTCTTTGGGGGTAGATCAGGCATCAATAGTTTTGAAGGCTCCCCAGGTGATTCTAACATGCATTCCAAACCAGAGCACGGCTGCGGTGTGGACATGTTATCCTGACAAATGAACCTTTCCTGATTGCATGATTGGCTCCCTGCCCTCTGACTGCCATGATTAGCCCTGAATGAGGTGCGGGCAGGAAGTATCTTCTTTTTTGACAAGGGAAATCTCTTCCATGTCACATTCCTTTCCAGGCACACAGGCTGCCTCAGGTGTGGAAGGACCGAGAGAGCACATTGATGGGTCTGCCCAACAAAGGCCAGTGTTCTGCAGATCCAAGAAATGGCAAGAGAATGAGAATCTTCAGGTCCGAATGGCCATCTGCCACCCTTACCAAACTCAACAGTCTCATGCTCGGGGCCAAGCTATTGCCCTGTGCCACCCTCCTTTTCAAAAATGCTCAGTGGCTTCTCAGTGCCATCAGGATATAGTCCAGATTTTCTGAGGTGACCTTTGCCCCCCATGGTCTAGCCCAGCTCCTCTTTCAGCCCCACCTCCCACTGTGCTTGTGTGCTCCCCATTCTTCTTCTGAGAAGGTGCGTGAATCCCCAGTGCACTCCTGTGCCCACCACCTACACAGGTGTAACGGTGCTTCTTGCCCCATGGATGCCCTCACTGCTGTGCCCATGTTGCTTCAGCCTGAAAACAGACTCCTTTGTTTAAATGCTACCTCCCCACTGAAGCCCTTCTGGATTTGTGCAGTGGGGCACATAATAGAAACTATGCTTTGCATAAGTTTCTATTAGATGATAGTCATGTTTTATGTGAATGTAAATTGCGTGATCTTGAAAGCAGTGTGAATAGAAAATTACCAAGTCTTGTCAACCAGTAAAAAGAAGTGGCTAAAAAGACGCTGAGACAACTGGCATCATCAGAACATAAACTGCAGATTAGCTAATAGCATAGTGTCAATGTTCAACTTCCTGAATTTGATAACTATACCACAGTTTCTTAAGAGAACAGCCATTCTTGGGAATGCACACTGAAGTATTTATGAATCAAGAGGCATGATTTCTGCAACTTACTTTCATGTGGTTAAGAAAAAAATATATATATAGAAAGAGGATGATAAAATAGATGGCATGAAATGTGAGCACTGGGCGAATCTGGGTAAAGGGCATATAGCAGCTCCTTGCGCTATTATTGCAACACTTCTGTTAAGTTTATTTCCAAGTGAAAATGAAAAGGCTGCCTTGGGTGTCCAACCACCACCCCAATCAAACCTTGTGTCTCCCTGTACACCCACCCAAATGCCCCTCCCTCCACTGAAGTCGCCAGCCAAGTGCTACCCACATGCTGCTTCAAGGCATTTTGGATCTGGCCTGGAGAAGGTACCTCGTAACACCCCAGAGGCCCTCGCAGTCACTGGTGGCCATCCTGGAAGGCGCAGGCACATGCTCCTGAGGGGAGAAGCTGCCATTCCATGATCCCCTTCCCTATCCATCCACTTGGCTTCCAGGTTAAGCCCTCTCTCAAGTAGCATCTCTTGGGAACTCTGCCAACAGGCTCGGCCAGGCCCTCAGGTTGCAGGTGCCCTGCCCCTCCCCATCACGAGATGCAGCCCTATGTCCATAAGAAGCAGTGGATCCAGCCTGACAATTTTCAGAGGTCATCTGTCTGATCTGGGAAATATACGGCTGAGTGGGAACTGACCCTGGACTAGAGTCTCACCCCTCCGGGCCTGTCTCTCCTCAGCCGTAGAATCATCATCTCTGAGTGGCTGATGCCTAGTTCCTCTCAGCTCAGTCTGCAGAGGTGGCTATGCGAGCAGCGCTAGACAACCACGGCCCCCAAGAGATCCAATTCCACTTAGCGGCTCAAGGCTTTATCACTGAGTAACTATTTCTTCCTCCTTAGCATCCTGGGAATTATCAAAGCTTGACCGGGACACGTCCTTTCCTGGTCCCATAAATCTTTTATCTTTGAAAAAAGTGTTTAAACCCCCCTTACCTCTGAGCAGTAACAATGAAGCTGAGAACTTCCTCTTCCCCAGACAGGTGGCTTGTATCAAAGATCACGCTGAATTCATACTAGGGAAAAAGGAAGTGGTATTTGGCATCAGCAGGCATTCCAAACTTAAACTGCTCTCTTCCATCTTCTGCAGTGTGTGACCTCTGGAAGCTCATTTGCATGAGGAGCTTTATGTTTTATGCACAGCTTTCTGACTGTCAGGCCAGACACAGCTTTAACAGTAAAACCAAGCCTGACACATACTCTGGCCAGGGACCTGTTTCTCCTGTTCAGCCCCCGAGGCTCTCTTTAGGAAGTGTTGCATTTACACTTTTAAGCCGGGACTTTCTAAGTTTCACTCACCTACCGTCTTTCCAATTTCTGCCACATCTGCAAATTATATCACCTGGGATATTTGCTTCATATTTTTGTTGCCTTACTCTTTTAAAGATTATTTTAAAAGAACGATTTATAGCACTATCATAGATGGGAATCCAGGATCACTTGCCAAAAAGAGATCGTGGATTCCCATCTATGATAGTGCTATAAATTGTCCACGTGTAAAAATGAATACAATGAAAACAGAGCAATGCTGAATTCTTCTGCCTGTGGAAGCCTCTGAGCATAAGATCTTCTCCGTCTTCGTTGAAAAGGGAGACGAGCTAGTGATAGAGAAGTGTTAAAGATATGCTGGCATGATGGGAAACGTTCTCCTGCGTGTGGTTAGGATTGGAAGAGTGTTGAAAAGTCCTCTGCACTGAATGTTTGTGTCCCCCCACCACTCCTCAAATTAATATTTGGAAGGCTAACCCCCATGTGATGGTATGTGGAGGTGAGGTCTTTGGGAGGTAATTAGGTTTAGATGAGGTCATGAGGGTGAGGCCTTCATGAGGGAATCAGTGCACTCAGGAGGAAAGACAAAGAAATCTCTCTCCCTCTCTCCAGGCGCACACACCAAGGAAAAGCCAGGTAAGTAGATATAGAGAAGGTGTTATCTACAAACCAGGAAGAGAGCTCTCCCCAGGAACTGAACCTGCCAGCACCTTGAACTTGAACTTCTCAGCCGTTAGAACTGTGAGAAATACATGTCTATTGTTTAAACCACCCAGCCCATGGTAATTTGTTCTAGTTATGGGAGTGCACGTGGGCTGCAGACAGAGGGAGCCCCGTCTCTGCTGGGTGACTTGCTGGGCTTTCTCCGGGAATCACCCTCTGCTCCCACACCCCCGGCCCCAGGTTTAGTCAGTCTTGCCACAGGTCCCAGCATCTGTGAGAGGAAAGTGGGGGCATTACCAGCCTGGAAAACAACACACATTCCAATGTTCACACTTCCTTGGGCTCTATCACTATTTTGAGGGTTAATAAATGTTGGCCAGGCACGGTGACTCATGCCTGTAATCCCAGCACTTGGGAGGCTGAGAAGGGTGGATCACTTGAGGTCAGGAGTTTGGGACCAGCCTGGCCAACCAACATCGTGAAACCCCGTTTCTACTAAAAATACAAAAAAAAATTAGCTGAGCTGGGCACGGTGGCTCAAGCCTGTAATCCCAGCACTTTGGGAGGCCGAGGTGGGTGGATCACGAGGTCAAGAGATCGAGACCATCCTGGTCAACATGGTGAAACCCCGTCTCTACTA